GCTCCCCCCCCCCCCCCCCCCCCCCAAGAGCCAGCAGCGACAGAAAGATCACTTAGCCCTATCAAGGTCAGAATAAGCTTTTCGTAGTAGCTCAAGCTTGTCTGTCTCGGGTTGTTGGTCAGCTTTTATGCAGTCAGCCCACTAACACCGAGAGTATTCCTCCCGGAGGTCATGGAAGCTGGAACCTATGTGTAAGAGACGAAATAACTTAGCCAAGTCATGCTACTTAAGTCAGAATGCTTAGGCCTTTTATTTTGTACCCTCAATCTAGAAGACAACGTTTCTGTTACTGTGTAAGTAGTATGTTGTCGTCTTACCTCCAATGAAAAGGGTGGTATGGGATATAACATTCACTGTTCTTGCTCATTCAGCTAATATTTAGAATGAATAAACTGTCGATATTGCTTTGATAGACGGCTCAGATCCTGTCACTAGGAGTCTAATTGAGCTGCGATATATGGGCGTCAAGGTTGTCTTTGGCCTACTACACAAGTTTGATGATGAAGAGGGCAATGGTAGGCTAATTTCACCTCTTGAAAAAGACACGCAGCCTTTTCGCTAATGAAAATACTTGAAACAGAAAACTTTGTGAATGTATTGACTGCCCCTCAAGATATGTATTGTCTTGAAATGAGATCATCCAATATGCCCCCTTCATTCGAGAATCGCAGGATAATAACACCCCTTCCCGAACGGGGCCAAATAGCAACAGTAAACCCTAACGACTCTCCCGGCTCTCCCGGTATAACCGCCACTTTAATAGAACCACTTTGAAGATCAAAAGGCAACTTGAACAGGCTATGACCCTTCCACTGAATCCATTCATTTTTGGGCACCACCCCAAACATCTGCGTCAGTTGTTGCGGCTGCCATGACAGGGCCCAATCCCCGCCGGTGGTGCGCACAATCAAACTTTCTGGGATAAAGTCATCCAAAGCCGAAATACGAAAGGGCAAAGGAAACGCCGCAAGCGTGTCCCCAGTTGACCAGTTCCAAATCCGGACCACCTCGGGATTTGCTGACGCGACTATGAACGTACCCGTGGACGAAACTGTGTGGTTGTAAGAGATTAAATCATCTTCCAGGATGAAGGAACATGTTTCTATATCCCAGACTTCGACGTGGCCCTCAACGGCAACAACTATTGCGTACGTCGAGACCGTTGAAGGCTGCAGGTCTATTGACAGCACTCGACGCAAACTCGTGAATGGCAGACTTTGAACAAGTTGGCCTGTATCACAGTTCCATATGTCGACCCTGTCACGTCTCGACGCAGAGATCAATTTCGCGTCCCGCGAGAAACAAAGAGAGCTTCCCTCCCCTTGAGACGACAAAAGAGTTTTGAACCTGAACGTGTCATTTTCTCGCACCCATATTTTAATTTCGGTTCCCCAAGTGGCTATAGCTTGGGAGTCTGGGGAGAAGGTCAGTCCCACTCGATGGCTGGTCTGTATAAACTGCCATTCGACATCAGGTTCGTGCAGGCTCCAAACCTGGACACTGTCCCTACTCATCGTAGTTGCGACAAGCGACGAATCAGGAGAGAATCCCAAATACTCTGCACCCGGGCAAGAAATTCCACGTAACAAAGCACCAGTCTCGGCGTCCCAAATCGAAATGTGGTTATTTTGGAAGAGTGCCGCCGTCATGGACAAATCTGGTGAAAAGACAAGGGATTGTAACTCCGAGGCAGCCTTCGGGGGTATTTCAAGGAGTCTTTGCCAGTCCCATACTTGTACTAAGTCATTGTGCGTTCTTGAGGCTATTTTCTTGCAGTCTGGAGAAAATAACAAAAGGCCATATTTGTGGCTATGCTTGATGTTTAATACAACATTAGTACCTGTGCTGATGTCCCATAACCGTGTTTCTTGAACCAGGCTATAAAACGAAAATTGAGTTGAGATGAGATATCTTGTGTCGGGAGAAAATGTCATCGACTGCAATATGACATCGTCATCGTCGTCTAGGCTCAGGGTTTTGAAGCATTTGCCATCCCTCATGTCCCAAATCCGAACTGATTTGAAGTCTGACGTTGCCAGGAAGGTTGACTCTGGTAAAAACTTTGTCAACACCCCCCTGTAATTCTTCATCATATCCTCCGGCAGTTTCCATAGCAATTTGCGCTTCGAAATATCCCATACAACGAGCGATAAGCCGTCTGATGAAGGAGCAACCAAAAGTCTCCCGTCTGGCGAGACACTTCCGTCGAAGAAGTATGCTTCGTACCATTGCATAGCGAAGCCCTCATCAACTTTGCTTGTCTCGAGATACCAAACATCAGCTCTACCGGGGTCCCAGACGATGAGAACTTTGGAGTCCCCTAAAGAGAACTCGATTCTGGTTTGATCACTCCATTTCACTGGAAAATCAAGCCTCTCTGTACAGGTCCCTGTACACAATTCCCAGACGCAAACCTGTCCATCCCTTGCGCATGACCAGATGGATTTTGAGTCTCTAGAAAAGGCAAAGGTGCTCAAGGATCCGTGGTGTGAAATATTGCAAAGGATTTGACCCGTTTGCAAGTCAAATATAAGTATCTTTGGTGAATGTGGGTGTTTGTGTTGCGTAAGTATGACCGCTACTGATTTGGCATCCGGTGAAAATGTTGGTGTCGAAAACCCGAATGAAACACGGGAGTCTTCTACAGCATCCTGCGCAGTAATAAGAAAATGCCTCGGGCCGGGTTCAATATCATCAATGCATTCACCAGTGTCACAATCCCAGACGTTCAAATGACCGTTCTCAGAGATGAAACATAGGAATTTAGAGTCCGAAGAGAACTCCATGAGGTTCAATGGAAGGTCATCACTGTTCCCTAACAGACATAGGCGCGAGTCCCAATTGACTTCCTGCCCACTGAGTAATGTCACCCAGGCTGGAGCCTTGACTGCGAATATTTGCCTGACAAGACTGTTGCTTGGTGCCATCACTAAGAGAGAGCAATAGATCTGTAAAGGAGCCAAGTCAATGGTTTGGATGTCGATATCAACGAATCTTATCGCGTCATTCAGGAAGTCAATTAACTCTGGTTCGTCACCCGTTGGCTGTAACAGTAAGTCAGCTGTTAGCCCACGGCCTAATTAGTGCACATGCCTCACCTTAATGGGAATGGAAGATTTCAGCTCCCTCATAAGTTTAGTGATCTGGAAAGCTCTGCCTAGCAAGCTCATAGCTTCGATCCAATGAAGAAGATGCCGTTTCAGGAACTTCAAGATTCTTGTAGCATCACTAGACCCGAGCCCCGCTACCACTCGGTGATTTATCCAATAAAAGCACGCGTACTGGACCTCGGGCGGTATACATGCGTTGATGAATTCGGGTTTCAATGTCGAACGGTGTGTTCCAGGCATCTTCAAATGGCAGATGTCGGGTTGTAGAGTTTCCATGACGCGGAGACAGTCTTTGGCTAAATTCTCTGCCGACTTTTTCTCATCTATCCAGAATTGATGTTCTCTAGTTTCGGGACTTATAAGATAATCTCGGAAGGATAAATGAAGCATTCGGACAGGTAAGTCCGGAGAGGAAGGAACATCGAGGACAGAGTGAAGGAGATCCAGCTTGCTGTCGATGATATCCTGGTCAATGCCCAAAAGACGCGACAGTGCTGACGCCGATAGAGGATTCAAAAGGTTGACAATAGTGCCGACAACATGCTGGAACTCGTGAATGACTTGGCGCTCAATTGTCCTCGAGCAGTTGGAACGAAAGAATTGTGCCAAGACTGGCCTGTATGTAAAGTCCAACTGTGCTGCAGTACCTTCTGTCTGGTATTCAAGAAATCGGCGTAGTTGTTTCTCAGGGCTACCCAGTTGGCGCTCGCTGATAAAGCGACATGCAGTCGCAGCGAAGATGAAAAGAGGGACCGCCTTGTCTGTGAGTAACTGGATACACTCGCTTCCAGGCCAGTCTTGTGGCAAGTTCCGTTTTTCTCCAACCGAAGCATTCCAATCCTCTCGAGTCACCTTCATTTTGTGATAGAGAAAGGTCGATATGTCTTGTTTGATGACTGAGGAGGATATTTCATGAAGAATCAAGTCCTGATAGGAATCTTCGACATCACGGAACCCAAGACGAACAGGAAGGTCTGGGCGGCTCGTAATAAATACTCGAAGCCGGGGACATTGAATCTTTTTGGTAGTGGCGAACAGATTTAAGATGAGCCTGATGTCTGTCTCCGAGTCGCATTCGTCCAATGCATCAATCACGATCGTGATGGAGCTTTCGCTTGAAAACTCGCCTGAACTCTTCATCAAAGGGTCAAAGACAAGTGTGTCAAATTGCATCTTCACAGTGTTGTTGGTGATTGTAGAGTTATTCCGGATGGCCGCATGGATATGTGGCCTTAACGAAGGTTGATTCATTGCAAGTTGGCGTGCAATTGTCGGCACTAGTTTTGAGATGCCACCTCGATCTGCTTCTCCACGCTTGAAGAAGAAGGTTGCCCCTAATCGTCCATTCTGAGATAGATACTGAGAAATTGTTCGTGAAATAGTAGATTTGCCAGTACCCGCCATGCCGTTCAGCCAGAAGACCGCTTTGGATTTTCCAGTCGTGTCCTGGATCCAGTCCTTGAGTTCTGCAAGGAGATTCTCTCGAGTATTTGGTAGGCATGTGTCATTGCGTTCTTCAGCGTGCGAGTCCCAGACCGCATCGCCGACATATGGCAGCTGATCAATGGTCGTTCTTTGCTCTTCAGCTTCAGCTCTGTCGTCTATACCGATGAGAAGGTCCCTGTGACAGAAACTCTTAGTAGTTGTTCTGTAGTATCAGGTGGTTCCTCGCAAGTCGAGTTGACTTGTCTTGTCCATTAGGTACTGGACCTCGGGGGATTAGAAAGATTGGCCACTAGAAGCATGAGAGACGAAATTAGCAGGCCAGTTCATGATGTTTAGACCCGATGCCTTCTGCTTTTTAGGCCAACCTTTCTGTTGCCCACTAGTATAGCTGAAGGGGAATATGAGAGCATTTAACTCACGCCATGTCGATCTGAAGCATGCCCAGCATAGCCTTAGTAGACCTCTCGATGTGGTGGATAGCCTCCTCGACCTTTTCCTTCTGCAAAGGCCATTTGAGACTTGAGCGATTGCCTTGCGAGAGTTGTTTTTCTAGCTGGCGTAATTGAACCTCGCTGCTTCCTATTGCAGAGTGTAGTCTCTGAGAGGCCTGTAGCTTGGAGCCTTTTCGAGAAAGTAGTAAGTCACTGACTGCTTCGGACTCATAGTGCAGCGTTATAGCAGCCTGTAAGAGTCGGGCGCGGCCATCATGGGAGTTTTTGACGTCTTGAGCATACTTGGAACACCATGCGATAACTTTGAGGGAAAGCTCGGCAACGGCGATCACGTTGGCTACAATGCCGAGACCTTCGAGTCCCGACATTGTGCAAGACTGGTATTGCTTAGATCAGCATTGGTGAAGATGTAGCCGGAGAGAGACGTAATACCTGAGAGGGACCAATACCTTCGTCTGATCTGTTTCAGTCCCTATTTTGCGACCAGGCTTTCCAAGTGCTCGAATGCGAGGGATAAAGGAAGAGGAAGAGTGGATTCAAGGCTCGGCTGCATGAGAGGTTTCAGCCAGTCAGCGTAGCAGTGGACTTAGGAAAGAGCATGCCGTTGCAGCACCAATGTCAGCTGGGAAAGGAAAGAGCCTGCGTCTACTGCACGCGCCTTCCTGAACACCTTCTCCCTGTTGACCATTACCGCAGAAAGATGTCTTGTTCGAATAAGTTACGAAATTTGGCCGGAAAATGTCATCAATATGGGCGTTGGCCTGATCTTGTTGTTTAATAGTGATATTAAGGGTGAGGTTTTAGGATTGGTCCTTGGAATGGTTCTTGGGTGAAATGGCTGAGCGGCATGGCGGGCACTGGCAAATCCACTATTTCACATCTCTTCCAATATGAAAGTTTGTGAAATGTAATAAATAGAGGTAACCAACAATACAAGGTAATTAGAGCCGCTTCTGTTGGCGTCGACAGGTGGATCAGCGACGTTGCATACAACAAACGCCCAACCCGGCTGGGCGCTTAGGCTTAGCACTCTAGGCACTCACTCAGGCGGGTCGCAAATAAAACAGGGATTGGATAAAGACTAGACGAAAATATTAACACACTCCCAGGTAATATATCCACGAAAAATGACCTATCATTTCTATCAGACACTAGATTAGTGCCGGTTTTTATGCAACCCGTCGGGCGCATAAGTCGACATGCAACCGCGATAAAAACGATTGGTCCGGTCTCCCCAAAATGAGGCTCAGCATCTGTTGGCCATGGCAAAATAACAAAATGTAAAAAGAAACATCATGTTTCGCAATTCCAGCACCGCCTCAGACATATGATCTGATTCTGGTTGTCGATGGTTGAAAAGGCAGCCTAACACCCGATTCTTCCACTTCTCAACAAGTTTGTTCTCGATATGCCACAACCATCAACGAAAATGCACCAAAACTGTGCTGACTTTCGTGTCTTGTCGTGGGATAAAAGTATGTTACTACCCAAATGTTAGTTTGTTTAGTGGAAGTACTAATGGGAATACTAAGGGAAAGAGGAATGGAATGGGCTGAATCGGATTAGTCCCGGCGAGTTTTATAATGAGGGTTTACATCCTTTGTTGAGAACTGACTCTCATGTCACAGTCATGTAAGTTTACGAGCGACATTTGATGAATAATTGCTAATGGGAATAGATTCGCGGACGCTGATAAAGTGCGCGAGTGTCCATATTGTCGGAAATGCTTCACCGACGAATTCCTCATGCCTGAGCTGTGGTGGTCAAGTTACAGCCGTAGATCAAACGGCTATTTTGGTAGCGAGACATTTCGCAATGACCAAGGAGACATCTCAGCACTAAGTAAGCAATACTCTACATGCCTAGATTCACTTTACTGACTTCTGATACTAGATACATGGTCTCGCTTCCTCGCCAAGCAATTAATAGACCCAGACGAACACGTCTGGCATAAATTCAACATCTTCACCCACTGGATCGCCTCAACACAACAAACATACCTCATCGTATTCGAAGCTCCCAAGCAAACCCATCTCAGAAACCTTTTCCCTAGCCCAATATTGACGAACTCTCACAAGGATGCTCTTCACGATCCTTTCTGGGTTTACCCTCGTCTTCTTGAACAATTAGCCGGTCTACAGGATAACAGCGTCTGGGCCGTCCGCGATCGTGTGAGGAATATCGAAAAAGAAGATTTGAGAAAGAAGCCGAATCCAAGGTATAGACATATGCATGATACTGCGCGACATGCGATTCATGTTTCGGAGACGCTTGAAGTTGCGGAGAAGACTGTTGCTTCTATTGTACAGCAACATAATGTCTTTAGGGAAGATATTGGATGGGGAGATAAAATACGGAATGCAGGGTATCGACGTGTTGATGAACGATTGTTGTGGTATGACCACATCCTTCAAAGTCTTCGCTATCGAGCATCTGCAAACAAGGAGCGTCTTCTTAATGAAGTCCAGCTAGCGTTCAATTCCGTCGCGCAGTACGATTCGAGAATTGCGGTAAAGATTGGTCGAGCAACGCAATCTGACAGCGCAGCGATGAAGACCATCGCCTTTGTCACATTGGCATTTCTACCTGGGACGTTTATTTCAGCGCTGTTCAGTATGTCTTTCTTCAATGTGGATGATGATACGGGGGAGTGGACTGTCTCGCACAAGATATGGATGTACTTTTCGATTGCGATACCAGTGACTTTGATCACGAGTGGATTGTGGTTATTGTGGCAAAGGTGTTTTCCGCCTGCTTGGATTGGTGAGGAGGAAGAGTCTGAAAATGCGCTTAGGGACTGGCGTAGGAAGTTCAAACGAGGTGATAGTGCAAGGGTTGATAGTTATGAGACGTCATGGGCGTGAAAGACTGATGGGAAGATATAGATTTGGATGCTAGTGTTTGGACATTGGAGTTTGGGTAGGCGTACGAAGTAAATGAAGAATTTCTTGCATAGGTAGTGAACTATAGAACTAGAGAGCCTTGATCCGAAAGATATCGTGTATCCAAATTGTCAATTACATGTAGACAGACGCTGTGCTCCCAACATCAAACCGTACCCCAAGCATAGTGACATTCATTCATGAAGCGTGATTCCAAAAATAGAATAAAAATTGACCAAAAGTACTACCGAAATGCGATTCATATCTCATTAAATCAGCTGGTTGCACCTCTCGGCCGTGTTAAAGTTATTCTCTGCCGTCGCGGCATCAACCGATACAATTGTTCCCGGCTTTCCAGCAGTAGTGTACTCTTGAACCACTACCGGCTCTGGCGCATAAGTAGTTTCGAATACAGGAGGCTGCGACTGCACAGTAACACTGACGATGCCTTCTTGCGGTACTTGGGTTGCCACAACATTTTGTTCTGCGGCCAGACTCGTCCCGGCGAGGATGTCGTTACCGCCGTATCCACTGTTCAGAACGAGAGTTGTGTTATCGGTAGTGCCGGGGACTTCGACGAGGTGATCATCACTAGTGATGATCTCGGGCTGGTTGTTGGGGATGTAGACTGGGTAGACTGGCTGCTCTGGCTGAGATTGGAGGATGAACGATTGTGCTGGTTCGGGTGTGTAGGTGGGTACTTGGTAAGAGATAGTCACCTGTTGTTGCACTGTTTGAGGTGTCTGAGTCGGATCGTAGATGTATTGCCGAGCAGAATATGTCTGCTGCAGGTCAGGTTGATAGACCGATTGAGGTGCGGGCTGTATAGGCTGCGCGTAGGGCTCCTGTGGTACTGATGGCGGCGGACAGTCGTTCTGCTGCAAAGGCTGAACATATTCCAAGGGCTCGGTTTGCTGAGGGGGTTCCATTGCATTAGAGTCTTGGGTTGGCATCGGCTCGAACGTGGTCTGTTGCTGAACCTCGAAACTAGATTGCTGTTCGTAAGGTTGTTGGACATATTGATCCTGCTGCGGCTCAAAGCTCTGTTGCTCAAACGCGGGCTGAGGGTCGGTCGTGGTGTAAGAAACCTCTGTCGTGATGCTGAATTGCCCAGGCTGTTGTTCGAATGCAGACTGATCATATTCTGACTGCCCAGATTGAACGGAATACTCGAAGGTCGTCTGTTGTTCGTAGGCTGGCTGTTGAAACATCGCCTGTTGTTGGCTATCGCCAAAGTCGAATGACTGCTGCGACTGCTCCGAGAAAGACTGATCGAAGCTCTGCTGGAATTGTCCTTGCTGTTGATCCTGGTAGCCACCCGAATCGTCCCCAAAGTCGAATCCACTGTTGTCATTGTAATCGTTGCATTCGTTATCGCTTCCAGAATTATCGCCGGTCAAACCGTTTACTTGGTTGAGCATTCTTCCCAGCTTCCTCCAATTCTTCTTCTTGCCCAGCTTCCCGACCTGTCTACTAGCCGACTCAACACCTTGACCTGTGAGCCTGGCCGCATTTATAGTAGCAGAGAGGATGTTGTCTCCGACGTTTTGTGAAGTCATCGGTTGGCCTGGTGCAGGTCTCCTCCTGACCACGACTTTATTGCCCTGCTTTGGCTGTTGTCCTGGTCGGTCCCACGTCGACAATCCTAGCTGCTCGTTGACATAGAATGGTGTCGCGTCTGGTGTCCTCAACTCTTTCCAACCCTCAGGGAGAGAATTGGGTGGCTTGGTCCACGCGCTGGTTCCCAGTCTTTTGTTGAAGTAGAACGTCCGTCCATCTGGTGTCCTGCGTTCGTCCCAACCAGGCGGTAAGCCTGAAAATCCCGACAGAGCCACCGCCGTAGGTTTGAGATGGGTCTTGAGCCCAGTCGCATTATGCGTGTACCAAAGCCGACCGGAAACGTTCTTTCGGATCGTCCACATATGAGTTGTCGCATCTTGGACCGACGATTGTATACGGGGATCGGATTCAGTTGCGTAGTAAGACTTGTCGTGGCTGTGGGAAGTGTTGACTGCGTTGGAGGTGAAGCACCAAACACAAAAGTTTGTCGCGATGTGAGCGGTGCTACAGATGAGGCATGTATATACTGATACATTGAGAGGGATCCCTGTAACGGTCAGCCAACGTACCTTTGGGTTGTTCAGTTGACTTACCTTTTCGACAATGATTACAAAGTTTGGGTTGGCCAGTAGAAGTCCGTCTGATATCTACTGTCGGCGTTTGTTGAATCGGCGGAGGAGAAGTGGGATCCCATGTTGGAGTGCCTATCGGGCTGGGTGAAGCTACGCTTGCGATGGTAGTGGCAGGTACTGCAATGTTGGGACTGCTACTACTAGCGCTCGCAGGTATCCAGTGCTCAGGGACAAATGAGCTGGCATTAGCGTGACCAGAATCATGATGTAGAGGTGCTGGGGTTGGTGAAGCGACGCTTGCGATAGTAGTAGCAGGCGTTGCGACGCTGGGACTGCTACTACCAACGCTCGCAGGTATCCATGAGTTGATATCATCATGACTAGACTCATTGTGATGTAGAGATGGCCGGCCTGCTGCTGGTGTCTGGGGCTGTGGTTGAGGTTGAGGTTGAACCTGAGGTTGTGGTGGTGTTTGATGTGTGTTTGCCAGTGTCGATTGGGCCGTTTGACTCGCGATGTTTGGAGCTGAGCCTATCGGACTAAATGGCTGTTGCTGAGGGTATTGACCGGGGATCTGCTGTTGAAGCGATGATTGATGAGTCTGTTGCTGTGGTACTGGAGATTGTTGTTGATGCGGCTGTTGCTGAGGATGCTGCACCTGTACTTGGTGTTGCGGCGGCGCATATTGCTGGGGTTGTTGATGTTGTGCCTGGACTTGTTGTTGCTGTGCTGGAGACTGTTGTTGAAGTTGTACCTGTTGAGGCGACTGTGGATGAGGCTGTTGATGCTGTGTCAATTGGGGGCGAGGTTGCTGAGAGTGTTGGCCTTGGTGTTGCTGTTGCGGGATGGACTGTGCGGCTTGAACAGCTGGTTGAGCATTGTGGATTTGATGTAGACTTTGCTGAAGATATCCAGGATGAACTTGTTGTCCAGGATGATAAGATTGAGGACGTTGCTGCTGGACATTCTGCTGCTGAATCTGTTGCTGCTGATTGTGAGGATAGCCACCCGCTGGATACTGTTGCGGTTGCTGCTGCTGGGGAGCAGGTCTATGCGCAAGTGAAAAGGTCTGCGGTGAAGGCGATGATACTACAGATTGTTTTCCAACTGGCTTTCTAGCAACAGATCTCTGATGAGACAAGCCTTGAGGCGGCATAGTATTGGCATGTCGTAGAGGCTCCATCTTGACTTGACTTGACTTACACAGGAAATAGAAGCGGGGGAAACCAAGAAAATGACAAGACGGGAGAGGAACAAGTTCCCCTCTTGGCACTTTATTATCTATCTATTCCCCTGTCAATCAGCGTGATCCCGAGACTTAATTGGTGAAAGATTAATTAATCATATCTTGATGCTGCATCTATTCTTTCAACCCCTCAACGGGCATGCACAAGGGTCCTCAGCCGCAAATCTGTAACCACTTACAACCCTGCTCCATCAACTTCGTGGCGCGCTTGAAATGCAACATGCTCTTTTTGGGTAAAGTTCAAGGCAGATTCGGCAAGGCGTTTTTAGATGCCGCTACTCTAGTTTGTTCATCTTTCCATTCGTCTCTTCGCATCCTGTTGTGCATGATTCTGATGGGCAATAACCGTGGGCACAAGCAAACGCGCACAACATGTCATTTTCTTTCTCTGTGCCCTGGATACGACAAGCCTGAACACCTGTTTCGGGAGGGAGGGGAGATTCCTTGCCGTAGCCTGTGCAAATGCATGGTGAAGGACAGTATCCGTGTGCGCAAGAGAATGTGCAGAGGGGGAGGAATTTCTGTGTTTCGCCGTCTGCTACAGCTCCTCGATTGCATGGAGCGTCGTTCGTGAATGTTGAAACGGTAGGAACAGAGGGTATAACCTCCCGTGTCGTGGTCGGGCTTTGCGACAGTCAGTAAATCCATCATTTCTTGAGTTGCACCAAGACTTACATGCTACGCCCATATATAACTTTACTCTGGTATTCAGCAAAGCCTATACCATCTTCTAAATATCCTTCTGGCACGCGTTTTGCAGGGTCGATAGTGCCGTCGTCATGAGGGTTGGGTTGCAACCCTAATATTATCGGAACCCGCGGCCACGTTACCCAAGTTACCGCGGCAATAGGAAAGATAAGAACACCAATGATGGCTAAAATTATTCCTAAACAGGGACTCCCCTCAGGCGGCTCCTCGGGCGCCTCATCGGGTGTCTCCTCAGGTGCCTCCTCAGGAGGGGGATCCTCAGGTCCGTCGGTCATCTTATGTCGATTAGGGGGTATCTGTTCGTTGATGAGTGTGTGTTGGGATCGATCGATACCAATTATTCTGCCAGGAGAAAAGATCTTCTTTATATACTTTCATTAAGTGATATAAACTTTGTTTTAGTAGTTTCGTGTGAACTTCGATAACAAGTTGTTGGGTTGTTGATATAAAATAACTTTCCTTATCTGCCATCACTCAGGCAAAGGACTGTAGTAAACATTTAATATGAACCCTAATACATCATGACCTGGCCATTGCATTTTTAGAATACGGTCACTGTTGGATTGAGACAAAATATAGGAGAAAGAAGGCAGCAATCAGTCCTTACTAGGAAGAATATAACCCTCTGTCCTAGAGGTCGAGGCTTACAGGTTTAGTCACAGGGACGACAGCGATCGAGGACATCTACAGATACTAGAGCGCCAGAGCCATTATTCACTGAAAAGACACTCAAATTAAAATATGCAACGAGACAAAGTAAGTTGGTACTATCAAACATCTACCCTATGAACTTAGTTCTTCGTCCTTGAGCGCCATTCTTGAATGTTGAAATTGTAGGAACAGGGGGGATGATCGTGTCCAGACTTTGCGAAGTGTTAGTGAATTCATCGTTTCTTGAGCTGCAGCAAGACTTACATGCTACGCCGATACGGATGGGGCACTGGAGGGTCTCCTTCGATATAGGGCGCTGAGGTGTCTTCGTCCATAGGGGGCTCTGGAGGGCCGAACATCATATTACCGAAGTAAATTGTACCGACAAATAGAGAAATAGCGGCTATCGAACCACACGCAAGCATGATATAAAACTGATTATCAGTTCTGGGGCCGCCGCTGAACATCTTGTATCGATTGTGGGTATCTTGTTTGTCGATGTGTGTGTGTGTTGGGGATAGATGCTGATTATTCTGTCAGTAGAAAAGCGCTTCTTCATATACGTTCCAGGTGAAGCAAACTCCATCATTTTTATGCTATACTAACTTTAATGGGAAGGTTATTGTATGAGATAACTAGGCAATGGACTCTGGTTAACCTTTATCGTGGACCCTAATGCATCGCTCAGGTATTCCATTTCTAAAGCCCAGGCCCTTTTAGATTGAGAGAACGTGCAACAAACGCAAGACAGCAGTCAGCCCTTGAAGGAATACAACTCTCTGCTACGGGGGTCAAGGCTTGCAGTTTCAGTCATGGGGAATCACTCACTGATAAGAAACTCAAATTTAAATATTCAGGGAGACAAAGTAAAGTTCTTCACCACATGACTTACTTCCCCTATCCTTTCAAAGTGCCATCCATGATACTGACAGAGAGTGCCAGAGCTTACGATGGCGACACTGCTCACTGCCAGGCCGATATATGTAATCTGTGGAGGTATCAGGTAGATTTTTGATCACCGCTGCCTTCTTCGTCGCTAGGGAAGGGAGAAGATTTTAGTTCATTGCGCTGTCTTTTGTGGCGACCATCTTCATCGATAGGAATAGAAGATGATCTGTGCTATGTGTCGGTCTTACCACATTGTCTGGCAGATCTGCCACCTCGGTGTCTTGCAAGACCTTTTTTCTCGTGTTGACCAAAGTGGCTAGAGAGACCGTTCACGAAATAACGTCAGACGATAATATCGGACGTGCGGTCAGCGGTGAAGGTCTATCGAAAACTAGGGCATCTTCACTTTAAACATCCGTTTGTAGTTCAAAACCGACAACGTGAGTTCCTCTTCCGTACAAACTAGGGAGCGAATGGTACGAACGGAGTCGACGGAGTAAATGGGACGAATGGATCGAATGGAACAGGTCAATAATTGCGGCAAGAATTACTACGAAGTGTTCTTACCCGGCCCAAGGGATGAAATTAGTAAGTCATTTTATGCTACTTGGACTAGAGTCAAAACTAATGGACTAAGCTTTAGGATGCAGTGCAGACTCTAGATTAAGTAGTTTAATGGAATCAAAGTATGGATACCAGCAAGTACATCACGGATTAAGGTGCAGGTTAACAAGTAAACCATTCTTCATTCGCAAACGCTAGAACTACCTCTTAAATGTAGTATTCATGATTCCCAGTGACCAGAGAACAACGCCCGAGAATTACCTGTCGTTCTCGACTTACCAATCCCTAGAGTCGTCAGTATCTGATGTAACATGGATGGATGCAGACGTACCACACGATTCCAAGATCTCTTGTCATCTCGGCCACTGCATCGTAGACCTCAACAAGGGCTTCTCCGACTTGTCTCCTTTGTCCGGAAACGTAAGTCTCTTCGCTCTGGCAAAGTCTCTCTGTGTTCCGAGCAAGAGCCTGCAAGCTGTTGATGCAGTCATTTCTTGCGTTCTCCTAGTCGATACAAATTTGCTACATGGATTAAAACTTAGCCCATTACGCGTTCAGAAAATAAACTCACAGGGTCCATGATTTTGACCTTCGAAACTTCATCGTAGACCGTCAAAACCTCATTGTCGACCATTGAAACATCATATTCGGAGTTATCGACTAGTCCGTATCTTCTCGCAACGTCATCTTGCCATCTAGTTAAGTCTAGGTCGAAATGGTCAATGACCTGTCCACGCGGTATCGATTCTGATTCGTCGTCTGCATAGTATTGTTCCGCTTCCCTCATGGCTTCGAGGAGCTGGGGGGTTAATTCTTGGAATTCTTCGGTATCACTTTCGTCATTGCTTGGAACGCTGAGTGGGTGACTTTCATCACTGTGATCGTCCTTGATAAGCTCTGGGGTCAGTTCTATAGATTCGGCCTTGGCCTTGCCCTTTTTGTCGTCGTCGCTCCGATGTTTGGTGACTGTGTTACGATGCTTCGTCTTGTTGTTTGACATGTTGGAAAGCGAGTGTAAGTAACTATAGTAACTGTATTAAAGTATGATATGGCTTTTGTAAGTTGAACAATGTAAGAGAAGAAAACGGATGTAGGCAGTCATCGTAAAAGTCCCATATCATAACACGGTGCAAAGGAAGGAGCGAGATAATCTGGCGCGTAGCAGAAGCGTTGGCCTTCTATGTCTTTAGATGCAAAAATAAATGACATAAAACCATGGCCCGAATAGCATAAACTGCCCTACTAATTTCGTCTTTTATACTTCTAGCAGCCAACTTTTCTGTTACCCTAAGGAGTGAATCACCTCAAGGGAATCTTTGTTGTGGGCGGAACCTTTCCATAAATCATTTGTTTCAGCTGCTGTTCGAGACCCATCGCCTCGCTTTTTGATCAGCGCTGTCATCCATAGACAGAAGATCTAGATTTCGCTAGTAGCCTACGCGGTAGGTATGCAAGACCCGAGGAGTCGGTAGTGCCAAGTGGGACGACGATCACTAGATATCTCTCCCATTAACACCAAGAATACGGTAGACTCGGTAATTAGTTATGATGAATGACCTCATCTCGAACCACAAGTTTATGTCGCATATTTGCATCATACTCGCGAAAGATTAATTAAGTGCAGCATGCAAGGATCACCACTCTTGTCTACAAACACCCCAAGTCGATCTTCACATGTGCGTATGTTGATCATCAAACCGCATAACAACGCGTCAAGATAAAAAGGTAAACACAACCTAACAATATTTAACAAAATTCTTCACCTGAACAATAAAAAACCCTCATCTCCAAACAAGCTTTTGTGGAAAAAGTGCCATCATCAAATGCATGTGTGATCTTCAAATTAACCCCGCACGTTGATGAACGACTCAAAACATACGGAGGTGGTCCGTCACTCTGTCTTGTTTACTGCAACGAACCTATCAAGTTTCATTCTCTGTAAAAGGTTATCCGAAACCGTGGTCTTGCAGGCTGTGACATTCGACGACGTCATTTAACATGTATGGGATTGTTCAAAACCTGACTCGGATTCTGATCGAGATTGAAACGTCGGATTCTTGTAATATGCACCTTTTGTAACATGCAGAGAGAGATTGCACGTGGCTTTGCCAGATGTGCGTGACCTCATGTGTGGATCATATGCCAGAGAGGGCATGATGCGAACTATCAAGTACTGCAACGTTGGAGATGTACCGACTTTGACTGCAGATATTCACGTGTTTTGGGGCAACATATTATAGTGTTAAACTTATGGTATTTCTGCCATTCAGTGTGGGTGCTATGCTACCTCGAGTGGTCTGCCATCCCAATCATTAACCATCCATATCTTCCGACAAGAATACGAAGAGTCGACTCAAGATAATTCCCGTTATCCTTTCCTTTCCCTTTCTTCGTCCGGCCTCAGGCGCGGACTATAGTAACGCAACGAATCCAACATGGGGTATCCCGAATGCATGCAGAGTTATAAAAACAAAAAGACAAGTACAAGAATAATGATAAAATACAACGCCATTGGCAAGGAAGAGGCTTGTGCAGTGAAAGCAGGTCTAAAATGCAAATTTCCCTTTCTGTTGGGGAAAAGTTCCTGAAATGCTAATATGCTGAATGCTGGAGAGGTTGGTCGTAGAAGCATGCCCGGAGAGGTGAGAGCGAAAGGAGGTTGTACAGGTTGGTAAGCGAGAGGGTTTGGTGGCGATGCGTGACGTGGAAAAGTAAAGTTGTGGGGGAATATTCTGGAGTGTTCTATAGTCGTTTCATTTGTGGACGTGTCGAGAGCTTGATATGATGGCGAGATTTCAGGTAGTAGTAGTAGGTAGAGGCGAGTCAAGATGTTGCGGCGGTGAGGTGTCGAGGTTGTTTGGTCTAAAGGGGGTATCATGGTTTGTCGGTGACCGCTTTCTTGAATGTCTTATGCGCAAGCGCATTTACTTCTTGTGCGACTTGCTAGAGCGAGAGTAGTTTCTTCGCACGCGCTCTCGACCGCGGCGCTCTTCCTCATCGCTGCTGTTGCTGCCACTGCTGTGGCGGCGACGATCCTCCTCGTACCAAGCGCTCAGAGACTTTCCGCCAAAGGTAAGATCCTCATCCTCAATGATGGTGGGCTGAACCCAGGCGTAAGCTGAAGGGTCGACTTCGCGGGCTGTGGGGTCGAGAGCCTGAAGATTGGGGACGTAGTAGTAGTAAGTTTCGGTTGAGTGACTCATGATGACTGTTTGATTGTGTAAAAAGAAGAGGTTGGTTTTTTTCTTCTTTGAGCGGGACTGTCGGGATATTTATTTGTGTTTTGTTGTTGTTGTGAAGGACTTTGTTTTACTGTGGAGGGAATGGAATGTGGACACGCCCTGGTAAACAAAGAAGGTGGAACTCTACACAAAGGGATAGACGGTGTGATGTGATTTGTTGTTACTGCGTCAAGCAATAGTAGTAAAAGAGGTCCAGCTCGAAAATGATGTATGAAAAGGCTGAGTCCAAGGCTGTGACGATTATATCTCGTGTTGTGTTGTGTATATAAAATGTAAAAAGAGAGAAACCCCAGGAAGGGGATTTCGGGGGGAAGGCTGATGGATATAGACACTGGCAGAGGCTGTACTGACAGTTTGAGAGGAGTGGGGAGTGTAATTAACTGGAGCCTCAGGTGAATCAAGGTGGAGGTGTGGCGGGTCTTGGCTCGGTAGGGGGGGGCGTGGCAAGGACAGGGCCAGCCCAGCGCGACCGACGCTCAAAAGGGCGTGGGGGAGATGAGCTTGAGCCGCACTGTGGTCGTCACTGACGATAATGATTTCTCAGAAGGTCGTCTAAGGGTCATCAATCCCCTATCCACAGTGGCAATTAACACTCAAGACCAAACAAGGCATCCCGTTGATTCGGGCGCACAGTAGAAGAACTTTGGGGGTGGATTTAGCCAAGAAACCAGAATCTCGTCCCTGGTCTTTTAGAGTCTCCTTTTTTAATTTTTGAGGCCTGGGCCAGAACATGACAATGACCGGGGGGATCCATTCATTCCTACAGCGTATTTTGCGGGGATGAGCGTGAGGGCTCTGGGATAACGAATGCCCTAGAACTAGCATTCCACTGATAAAAGAAATGTCAAAAACAGAAGCTATTCGGGGGTGCCGAAAATCGGCCAACATGTTGAATCGTGAGGGAATTGTTTTGTTGTTGCTATTTGTTGACTCATCTTTTGTCGCTCACACCACTCACACTCCCATGTGGTAGAAAACTTTGACAGAGGAACATTTCGGGTTGTCTTTTTTGTGTTGGGGGGTTGAATCCGTCGTGTTGGAGTCAAGATGGATGGACGGTCTTTGTTATGAGTGGATGAACTGAATGGATCTGTAGACTAATTTGAGCCCTTTTTTTGCTTCTTTTATTCTTTTTAAGAGTCAAGGGAGGGAGATCAGTGCGTATCCAAGGGATGAACTAGATAATTTTTATTTTCTTGTCTAATTATTTCGTGTGATACCCCGTACTGAATGTGTCATGGCGGAGAAAAATACGGTGTCTTTTGTTAGATACGAGTTGGCATCTAATTTGGAAAGGTGAGACAAAAACAAAGACAAGTCATTAAAAGCGCATTGTTGGGGGATCAAAGACTTGGCAGTGTTTGCTAAATGGAGAAAGTGGGAATATCTATTTCTTGATCTTGGTATTTATTTGAAAGTGTTTTTAGACATTTGTGATGATCTTGTCTTGGGAGAACAAAACAGACAGGTGAGAAAACATGTTGTGGGCCGCGGATCCGCCTCGGTCAAAGGTGAACTGATCGATTCATCTTTACTTATACGATGCTGGGGAACCGGCCAAGAGAGACGATAAAAATAAAAGTGAGGCTGGGTCTTTTCGCTTCCCCTTATCATCAAAGCTCGGGCCTTTCCATGAGTCGATGGTACGATTACGTCGTGGGATTATTCTGGGCTTATATCGTCCTTCGTCCCGTGTCGCATCCAAACTTTGATGATGAGTGAGATTTATCAGACACTGTGCATGCAAAAGAGGCATTTGCGATATTTGTTTTTGTGGTTGAAAATGGGTATTAGATGTTGCCTAGCAAGGCAAAGGCTCAGCCTAGCCCAGCCGCAGTGGTACTATTACCGCCTTGCGTGAGACTATTGGAACAAATGAGCATGCAAATACATATGTAGGCAGCAGCAGGCCTCACTTGAACAACAGCTTTATGTCTCTCATTCTTGGTGGTATGTATTCTGCGATATGTTATTTGATATGCCACGCTGGCCAAGCCAGACTTTACCACGTATAAGATGCATTAGGTGATGGGCCTGATTGCGGGGAAGCAGGCATTCACAGACGCAAGGCAAAGGCAAGGCAGTGGAGAGAGGCTCCGCGGGCCTTGTTGAATAAAGGATGGGATCTGACAGGGGAGACGCAAAAAAGAGGGGGGAGTGTGGATAAGCAGTGGTACAGTGCAGCGATGTTGCTTGCATTAACAGGTTCAATCGAACTACCTATTTGAGCCGAAGCTATCTACAATTATGCGAACCATTTCCCCGCGCGTGCGCTGTGGAAGGATGATGATAAGATGCCTCTAAGATACCCGAAGTACGCGTTAAAAAGGCCACATGGCAAAAAAATGACAAAGGGCGGGAACAGGTTTATGTCCACATCTGCTGACTGCGACTGCACCGCTGACGATGACTACCTCCAACGGGAACGGTAACTACGGACGGTGCGGTGCGAGCATATTGCCGCAATTATCATTATATTATGCGCAGCTGACGGCAGGCTGGCTGAGTTGATAGAAATGTGTTGTGTTTGTTTCTCAGATAGGAACTCTTTGCGCCGCCGCAAGCGCTCTGGACCCTGATCTTCAAAAGATGGATGGATGGATCAGACAGACGCATGTGCGAACAGTATATGATAGCATGTAAACTGTCCATCATATCGTGGAGACTGTGAGGCTCAGAAAGTAAATCACCTGCATCTTTTGACACACACAAGGTAGAATCTGAGACAGTGGGCTAGGTAGCCGTTGATCAAACCCCATGATTTGACAAGCGCGCATGTGCCTCGATTTTTGATGCCTGGGGAAAAAACAAAAGCAACAGGATTTGGAAAAGGCGGGGAAGATACAAAATAAGATGGGGGTTGGGGTTGCTTTGCGGACGAGATGGTTCGTCACATGCTGAAACCCGCCAAGTTAAGATCGGTGTTTATTCCAAGCTGGACATACTGACTAGAGCTTCACGCCACAAGGAGTATTGTGGTGAAACGGTGAAAACAGCGGTGATGTTTTAATACGAGAGTCAGAGAGCAAAAGAGAGTTTGACATGATTCAATATCGATTACTTTATCGTCAACCATGACCTGATAGCTTTACTGTAATAAAGCCGAGGCTTTAAACTGTGCGGCTGTAAGTTGTTCTATAAAGGGCAATCTGGGGTCAGCTTACAGGGGTTTCTCAAAATCAGCCTTTCAATCCTTTCCGCCCGCGGGAACATCCAACCCTAGCCTCTTCCAATCCTGGAACCCTGGAGGAGCGTACCGAAAATCCCGGAGCCGCGCTTCTTTAAACGTAATCTTTAGGAACTCTGTCCGGAATGTTGGACCAGGATAGGCAAAAGGCCTAGGGTCGGCTCCATGATATGTTAAACGAGCCTCGACTTCAGCCGTTGAAAGTATTGAAAAGTTTATTCCTCCTAGACATACCTGACAAAAACTATCGACAGGAGCTGAAACTAGCACAGCACCATGGGAGTTGCTGAGAAGGAACAAACTTGTCAGGCTTGTCAAAGTTTTCTTCTCTTCTAGCTTGACTCATTCATTGCGCAAAAAAGGAAAAAAGGAGACGTTTATCAGAATTTTCAGAAACAATTGGAGTTTATTCCGCCACTGAGCAAAGCTTTGAGTCAGTTCGTACTGTACAGTGCAATAATTTACCCCGTACTTTTTCTGAATGAATCGCTACACCCCCTTCTTGGCACAGTAGCCTTGTCGTCTCGCGTCAGCCACGAGGGCACGGCGCCAGAACATGTCAAGAACACCTAGCAAGGCGGTGTCGACGACATGATGTGCTGTAACTGTCGCTCACCGACTCTGCCAACAACCCTTTCTTATTGCTACTGTAACTCTGTCTGATTCATTTACAGTGAATAAATGACTCTTTTATCACTGGCAATCAATTTAAATCACGCCCCCCGCAAAAATGCCAAGCGCCGAACTATCATCCTTTGTTCCTCTTTCCCCCGCTCCGGCTTCGGCCCGGCTTTGTGTGGGTTGGCCGCCTGGCTCCCGTTATCCGGCCGGGTTGTGTAGAAAAAATCCTTCTTTGAACCACCACCACTCGGACCGGGAAGAGAATTTTTTTTTTAAATGCTCCTCAGTTAATCGCACAGTGATAAGTGGAATTCTGGGGAAAGCAAGCGAGAGATGGGGCCTTTCGCTTTCGCTCCGTTGAGTCTAAAGGCCACCTGCAGAACCGTTGGGAAGAGCTGAAGGACGGAATGTTCCTGTGCCTGTCTACCAAGATCTGCACAAGATGTCAACGGGCAGAAAAGTTACTGTCAGTGGGTGTTGCAAGGCTTAGAACAAAGACGCTGCAAGGCGTCAAGTCTTGTCATTCATTTTTCTCTTCGTCCTTAGATGTTGATTGGTTCTAGGCATGCATGTCAGGGCAAAAAGGTTTCGCCTCTCAACGACGTCACAAAGGCATCAACGGTGTTTCTATTGACTAAAACATGCTTCCTTTGGTCCACTTCTTTTGTTTCTTTAATGTTCGTCATCACTACAAGGGATACAAAGGAAAGAATTAAAAAGAAACTGTAGAAACAATAACCGGTTTTCCCATTACGCGGCGAGATACTCCCGTTCCGGGATTAACGGTCTGTCTGTCAAAATCTGCCCCTCCAATATGATGTCATGTTGCCCTGGATCAATCTCGCAATCGGTTCCGAGATCTTGGACTCTTGTGCAGAAGAGAGGAAGGGGGGCGTGTGCAACGGTTCTCGACTTATTTTGCCTTGCATTGCATTCAATTGTCTTTGCAGTATTGATTGAAACCCAGCATTGCATCGTGATAGCTTGGCGGGCTTACACAACAACGACGTAATTGAGGTCTATCATGCAGGCAATGCAATGTTGGAAAGGGTTCTTTGCTTACGTTGCCACAAAGGATGAGCCCATGTTCATTCAGGTCCGGGGTTCAGAAAATTCTCTTCAGCTTTGCTGCTGGGATGTTGATCGTCTCTGC